CAGTGTGCCCACCTTGCAGCTGCTGCTGGGGGCAGGTGAAGTTGGCTGTGACCATCCCCAGGGCTGACAGCATGCTGGGTTCCTCTGACAAAGACCTGTTTCACCTTCTTCCAGCATGACTCTGAGGGCCAGCCTCCCATAGACTTAATTAATTGCTCAATTAAGTCATAATTCAAGGTCCCCTTGCACTCACTCAGTCTTCATCTTACTTTAGTTGCAACTACTGACAAGTGGTACGTCCTCCTCCTTGAAGCACTTTCCAGACACCACACTCCCCTGGTTCTCTTCCTACTTCACCTGCTGCTGCCTCCTTGTCCCCCTGAGTCCCCAGGACTCAGCCTGGGGGGCTTTCCTCTCCTCCATCTACACCCACCCCGCTGGCAATCTCACCCAGGCTTGTGGCTTTAAGATGCATCCAGAGGCCATCAGCTCCCAAATACAGTCCATCCTCATCAGCCACAGATTCTGTGTTTTTCAATTTGCCCACTTGCTAAAATGTATTTGTGGCACCTAAATCAGTGCTCGGGATGCTTTCGAGGTCATTTGTGGACATGAGCAGAATGGCCAAAACTCTGAGTCGCCCGAGGTGCACGTTTCCAGGGGAGGTCAAACACAGCACCCCTCTGCCCTTGTTTCCACTCTCACACTGTGAACAAGTTATCATTTTCATGGTCTAGTTGGTCCCCGTTTTCTCATTATTGTGCGTTTCGTTGATTGCACTGTTTAAAGCGTCCCCGAGCGTAGCACTGAGGTGCTGTGTGGGGTTCCTAGTGCAGGAGGCCAGGATGTGCCTTATGGAGAAAAATACGGGTTTGACCAGCTTTGTTCAGGGCTGGTTAGAGCGCTGTTGGCCATGAGTTCAAAGTCAATGAATCAACAATAATATTAAATAAGCTGTCGTTGAAGAGAAACACACATAAAACAAGGTTATGTATCTACCAGTTGCTGAGAAGGCTGTGATCAGAGGCCCGCAGGCACCTAACCCTTTGTTTCCCCTGGGACCAGGGGCTCAGGCGTCACTAACTCAGTGTTGACGGTAACTTCACTGAGCATAACCACCATGTATGAGAACCGACTGCACCAGCCAGGATGGCTCCCTCTCCAGGATACCAGACTCATACTCCAGCTGCCTCCTGGACCTTGCAAACTCTAACAAATCCAAACCCCTACCCCTGGTAAGCCTTCCGCAACTTGCTCCTCCCACAGGCATCCCCATGAAAGGCAGCTGCACCCTTCCAGGTGCTGAGGCCCAAAGAGCATGGAATTATCCTTGATCTGTCTTTCAATTTTTTAGAAAATCTTGATGACACTACTTTCAAATGATATCTGGCACCTGACAGCTTCTACCACTTTGGCTCCACCAGCCTGACCCAGCCCCTGCCAGTTCTCCTTATTCCAGCTTCTCCCCTGGAGGGATTCTGGTAAAAATCAGATTATGGCAGCCTTCCCTCAGAACCTTCCAATGGCTTCCTGCCACCCTGAGTAAAAGCCACAGTCTTGACAACATGCCTTGCCTGTTACTTATCTGAGTTTATCTGCTGTGACCCTTCTCCCCGGCAGCCACTCACGCCTGCCTCAGGGCCTTTCACCACCCTAAGAAAACCCTTCCTTCAAATAGCAGCAGGGCCAGCTCCTTCGCTTCCATCAAATCCTTACCACATCGCCACCCCTTCTAAGTGAGGGCAGCCCTGATCCCCACATCTAAAACTGCAACTGTCAACTATGCACATACACGTACTTGCTATTCTCTCTGCTGCTTCAGTTTTCTCCAGAGCACTTATCACCATCTAAGATATTAATTAACATACCTAGCTGTTTATCATCATCTCCCTCCCACTCAAATGTAAAGACCATTTCTTTCTACTGATGCATCCCTACTGCCTAGAGCAGGAGGTAGGCACTAGAGAAATAACTCTTGAATGGGTGAGTAATGCAGCACTGACCATACCTTATTCAATGTAGCTGTTTGCCTGCTGCCACTCACAGTAAAACTGACAACACTGTGAGACCAGAGACTGTCTTATTCATCTTTGCATCCCTAACACCAAACCACCGTGCATGGCACAGAACAGGATTGCAATAAATAACAGGCCGAACAAATAGAAGGGGAGGAAAGAAAAAAATCACTAATTTTCATGAACCTTGGGTTGCTATTCAATCTACAAGCATCTGTGCAAAGATGAATAAGACACAGTCCCTGCTCTAGAAAAACCCACAGCGTGGCGCAGGCCCCTGCTGCAATGAGATCAGAGCCGTTGATGAGAAAGGGGTCAAAGAACCAGGATGACAAGGGAGAGGATGGGTGTTAAGAAAGCAATCAAAAGGTGGTAACATGTAAGCTGGGCTTTGATGGCTGAATAGGAGTTTGCCATGCAGACTGTCAGGGAGGAAACACAGCCCACCGCCCGAGGTATATCTACGTAGATGTGAGCTCCCCAAGGTAGCTCCTTCCTGGTTCTAAAAAGTCTTCCCAGAGTCTCAGTGCTCAAGATACATGAACAAACAGAATTGCTATAACGTAGTCCCACAGTCCTCCTTTCCCTCTCCCCATCACAGAAAACTCAGTATCTGACAACAGGATTACCCGATGGCCCCACTTGCCGCCACTTAGGGTACTGAGCGCAAGGGTCACATCTAAACATTGTTCCCAGTTCCCAGACTCCTCAGCATCTGACATCTAAACAAAACCAGACCACTCGGAGAGCAGCCACTCAGAAACTCAGAAACTGCCGTTTCGTGGGCTCTGCCAAGACGCAAATAAGCAAAAATCAGTTTAGGAAGTACTAGCACTTTCCAACATGAGAGCCAAATAGGAGAAGAGTGTGATGCATATGTAAACACGGACGTTCTTTGTCAGAACATTACATCGCAGCCAAAGAGCGGGCTTCCTTCTGAAGGGGGACACTGGGCAGCCACTGTACCCTCTGACGCTTCTTAGCCCGGGGCAGCCTGGGCACCAGACTGCTGCAAAAGCAGAGCCACCCTGGCAAAGACACCGGACACCATGACCTCATAGGCCTTCTTATTTTCTCATGTCTGTGGCTGGAACAAACTTTCTCTTCCCGTCTTTCAAAAGAAATGAGAATAAGCTTGTCCCTTTGTTTTCATTTGCCGCTTGCCTGATGGCCTGGACTGAGCTGGAGAAACTCCACACACACACACACCCTCACATGCTCATATTCCCCCCACCCCACCCCCAGGCATGCACATGCATTTACACATGTGTCACAGCCCTGATTCCAAGTGTCCCTGACGGGGTCCAGCCTATGCCCACAACCATCACTTTATTCTCCCAGAACAGAGGTGGCTTGCTATGCCACTGTCTCCATCAAGGCTGCACTGCCTCTGAAACATGATGAGAACAATCTCTCCTTCTCTGTAGGGCATGCACATGACCCAGGAACACAATTCCCGCCTGCGACAGTCAAGAGCTAAGCAGCACTGATCACACCCTCTCATCCCCCGCCACATTTACACCATCTTTATCTCCTCCGTCTAAACCTTCTTTTCTCTCATGCTCGTCTGTATTTCCCACAGCCTACTCTTTATTCCTCTCCTTTGAGTTCGTTAGAAATGAAACAGCTGTGACATAACACCCATTATTATGCAAGCACTTTGAAAAGCTGTGAAGAGCCTCCCGGTCACTTGGGAGTTTCCCACAATGCTCTGGGCCCCCAGGCCCATTTAGTGTGTGGCCTGCTTTCCTCGGCCCGCCCAGGAAGGTGGCCGAATTATACCCAAAGACAAACGGGGATGATGTTGGTTTAACAGTCCCGACTCTCTCCCAGGGCAGGCTTCCTGTTCTCACTGAGAAAGGCCAACATGGTTTGCATGACGAGAATTCAGCTTTGGTGTCCATTTCCTAAAAACCTATTGCAACCTCAGTTTTAACCCTGTTCTCGGATACTCCTAGCCTGTCCCCTCACCCCAGGCTTTTTCCCACTTAGGGCTTTCGTACAAGCAGACGCCTCTATCAGGAACCTTCTAAGTTCCTGTGCCTGGCTGCCCAAGTCTCCTTCCTGTCCCTTTAACCCAGGCCCCATCCCTCTGCGCCCCCTGCTACTCTATCACATGCCCCCACTTTATTTTCTTTGATTTGAAGCACTTATCATGATCTGAAACAACCCTTTCATTGATTTGTTTCTTTGTTTATTGTCTGTCACTTCCAACTAAAATGTAAGCTCCATGAGAGAAGGCTCATTCACTGCTGTCACCCCAGTGCCTGGTACATAGTAGGCACTTTAATATACATTTGCTGAATGAATGAATATATTTATGTAAATGAAAAGTCTCAAAAACTTCACAAACAGTTCAAGCAGCCCTTCTCCAGGTCCTGGAAGACAGAAGATGAATCTCAGTATCCACATGTTTGGATCTGTCAGTAGCATTCCCGGCCTTCTCTCCGTTTAATATAAAAAAACATGGGCTGCTGATTTTAGGGAAAAAAATCTCATTCTTGGCTTCTCCAGTGCAGATCAGGATTGGCTAATTCAAGAGAGTGACTTTGTCAAG